CGAGGAAGGAAGAGGAGGGGGCAACACGGGGGGAGGGGTGGGGGGACAGGGTTCGAACGGACGGGAGACATTCCAATCTCTCGTGGCAAGCTTGCCTGCTTTGCTTCGCTTGCTTGTCTGCTTGCCCGCTTGCCAAGATATCGTCGTCCTAAAGCCGGCCCACGCTACATCCAATGGCACACGGATATCGTAACCGTGTAATCTCGCGACGCGATCGTTATAGTCGATTTTGCGGGATATAGTTAGAGATGCGATCCAAAGTATGTATACTGTATGTGGGTTTCGGATCTGATCGGATAGTTACGGACAGTACGCGGGTACCGAGCGAATCTGGATGCCGCGCGAAAAATATGGTCAACTCGTTCAACGTTTACGGATTTTTGGGGGATTTTTTTACGACTTGAACACTCGACAGATTATAAGAATTTAGGGACACAGGAATTTTGAAATATCTGGGAATGGCGAATTAAAAATTTGAAGATATATGAGGTTGAAGGTGTAGGAATTTATGATTGTAGAGGTATGGGAAGGGAAATATGTAATCTAGGGAATTTGTGGTCGAGTAATTTGGGGATCTTCAAATATGAGAATTTAGGGATTTTTGTACAATGGTATTTGGGGATTTTAAAAAGCTAAGAATGGAGAGATAAAAATTTGAAACTCTAGGAGTTTGGGAATCTGGCAATTTAAAACTATAAATTCCCTAGTACATCCACAGTACTAGAAAAATATTATGGATTCCCTAATACGTCCATAGTATTTTTCTAGGGAATTTTAGGCAGATAATAGAGAAGTTTTAGTACCGTAATAAAGTCTAATATTGCCTAAAGATGTCTCGAATTATCGAAAAATGTGACGGGTAACAGGATGCCCCACCCCTTACACTTTTTAGTCAAAAGCAATCTACGCTCTGTGAAATATACACGTAAACGCTTAACATACGCGCATACGATATATTACACGTTTCCTTACTCTTGAAATAGTGCTTGTCGCACATACGCGGGTATTTCAGCCGGAACATTCTTTTATATGTATGTACATGTTACACGTTATAACGGTTCGGACTTGGACTGAAGTCGCAGTCATTGACATCGTCATCCGTATCGTCAGTGTAACCAAATTCTGGACGCATGCGCCGAACGTTCAGACAATTCTCGATTACGATTCTCGAATACATAGAAACGTGCCATGAAACCAGACATAACCATGCAAAACGTAGAAAGAAACGATCCAGCATCTGTTAACAGGATTCTCGTCGTTACATAACCAGTTTCGATATATTCGTCCGCTACCAATAGCTCTTAACGTATCACGCGTTATACAATTTCTTGCTTTACCACGGACATTTCTTTTGTCAATATATTATTTATAATAACATTCCTGGCGAATTTCGAAGCTCAAGAATTTCGATGTTTTCAAAACCCAAAATTCAAATACTTAAGTTTCAAAAATTCAAATACCTACATATTTGAAAGTTTACATATTCAAAAATTCAAGTACTCTAAAATTTGTATACTCAAAAATTCAAATATTCAGAAGTTCAAATACTGAAAAATTTATGTATTCAAAAATTCAAATACTCAAAAATTCAAGTACTGGAAGATTTATATACTCAAAATTTCATGTACTCAAAAATTTATATACACAAAAATTCAAGTACTCAAAAATTTACATATTCGAAATTTCAAGTACTCAAAAATTTATATACTCAAAATTTCAAGTACCCGAAAATTTATATACTCAAAATTTCAATAACTCAAAAATTGATATTTTAAAAAATTCAAGTACTCAAAAATTTAAATATTAAAAAATTCGAAAGCTAAAAAATTCCAAAATCCGAAAAAATTTTCAAAATTCCAAAATAAATGAAAATTCAAAACTGAAATTTTTAACCCTAGATAATTTTTGATAATTTCTTGCTAGTGTTTTTTCTTGTCAACATTTATTTTAAGCAAAAGTAAGCTTACGCAGCTACGTTGCACCGAAGTGTACATATCAAATACACTTTCTTCCGCAGTATTTGCGTTCACATTGCTAGGTAATCAACATCGCATTGGACCAGACATTACACCTGTCGGTACGTTTTAAATTAACGACCAGCCGGTTCCTATTTGCTGAGAGTCACGATATTTCTTGTTTCGTTTCACGGGCTAACGTGGACAAGAATGATTGGGACTGGTCAGTGATGAGAACCGTCACGTGACTCGCTTTATCACAGTCACGTGACTATCAATAAATTTTTAATTAATCCGCTCAACTCAATTTTTTAATTTAGAAACTTCCGACATTTATTTCGTTAGTAAATGTTAATTTAAGTTGTTAAAAAAATGTTAATTTAAAAGGTAATATCACTAGTTTTATTAAAACCGAATAATATTAACTACTATCAGTTTCGATATAAAATAAATTAACGTACTACATATTTCAGCGGCGCGGTACATAAACGGCTAAAAAATATAAGGAGTATTGTAAAAAAAATGCAGCAGTCCCGCTATTAGCGTAAGCAGGTACATATTTCCGATATTCTTTAAAAACATCCTCTAGAGAATTCTGCACCGCGCAATTGATCAACGGATACATAAATTCTGCGAGATTTTTACTCTTCCCGGTAGCCTGGTCGGTTTCATCGAGGCAAGCGCGATTTCTCTTAAAAGTCCGCGGGAATGCGAAAAATTCGCGGCTGGATTTCTGCGAAGGATTCGAACTATATAATTTAAAGCATCGGGATCCGCAACTTCCTCCGGCGGTGTCATAATCGGTTTTGTATCTGTCCGCGCGAGACGACCAGCGGTACGAGAGCCGAGCGAGCAAAAATAAATGGCAATTAAAATTCCACTCGCGTCTCGCTGCCTCCTCTCGTAGAGTAGAGAGTCGGCGAGGCATCGTAGAACGCTGGTGGAAAAGAGACGCGGAATACGCCGCGGAACGGGTGGAAGCGAGAAAAACCGAGAGAAAAAGGAAAATCGTTGGAAACGCGAGAAACCGACGGAGATGACGCAATACGGGGAACAGCGGGAACGAGAGAGACGGCGGCGAGAAAGACTCGAGCTTTAAACTTTGAAATCCGAGCCAAATTTGAACGGTCTTCACCGTTCAAGGTTACCCCTTTCAATTTTTTTTAATGGGCGTCGCTTCTTTTTCATAATGCGCGACTTCTATTCGCGAGTTTTAACGTCTTGACTGTCACATTTGTGACTTTGATACTCGATCTTTTATCTCGTTCTTTATCTTGTTTTTGTTTATTGCGTCATGCGCCGACTATAATTTACCAACGGATCGCTTTTAAACAATTTTTAACAGAATATAGTTATCTACAGTATTAAACATTTGAATTCTTAGATTCTCGAATTTCGTTATTGCCAGGGCTCAAATATTTGTAAGATATTGTTTCCAGATACTAATATCCCTAGATACCACTATCCGTAGATAAAAATATCTCTATATATCAATATAGAAATCTCAGTATGCTTTAAATTTAATATCAATAAATTATAATATGCTTTTATATCAATATCTCTAGGATCAAATATTCTTGTATGCCAATATCCCTAGACATGTTTAAAATCCAATATCTCTAGATTTTAATATCGTTTTATATTAATATTGCCAGATCCAAATATCCCTAGATTTCAATATCTCGAGATCCCGATATCACTAGATTTCAATATCCCTAGATCCCGATACCACTAGATTACAATATCCCTA